AGGGTTGCACTGAGTGAAGATTGCAGTATCTTCTTGCCAGAGCATCCGCAGGTGAATACAGACCAGTTCCATCAGCAGTGGAGACTTGGGTTTGTTCCTGTCATATTGCCATACATCACCTTGTCAGTCTGTCATGTGTGTCCCACCTCCATCTTCTGAGGAGAGTGGTTTTCCTCCATCACAGTCCTGTAGGTAGTTAGGAATTTGAGACTGATGCGAGGTGCAGGTTGTGTCCACGTACTCGCCGCAGAGGTTCCTCCATAGAGGTGCTGACCAGCTTTCTCTGGGTTTGTTTGGGTTTTAGTCAGACTTCTGCAGTTTGATGCATCTGGTGAAACTGGATTTGAGTAAAAACCGGCTTCAACAGCTGCCCTTGGACTTTGGCCGCCTGGTCAATCTGCAGCACCTGGACCTTCTGAACAACCGTTTAGTCACCCTGCCAGTCAGCTTTGCACAGCTCAAGGTAAAACTGTTTGCTGGGCAGTTACATAAAGCTTTGGGATGCAGCCCAGGGTCTTGTGATCCTGCTCAAGTTGATTTCTCTGGTAAAGCATCCATCCTGCTGACTACCCATTCCAAAATTCAGCTGGCTCTGCACCGCAGCTCGGTGAAAATTCTCTCAGTCTATTGAAAACGTCTCTGCTCATCTTCTGTACCTGTTTCATTCATCTGAAAACTAAGCAGTCCTTTGCTTCTGTTTTGGATCTCTTAAATAATTGCAAGACTGCTGTGCTCTTACAGCCTCCCCTTTGTTGTGCCTTTTTGCAGAACCTGAAGTGGTTGGATCTGAAGGACAATCCCCTGGATCCTGTCCTCGCTAAAGTGGCAGGAGACTGTCTGGATGAGAAGCAGTGTAAGCAGGCTGCTGTCAAGGTAAGGAATCTGCTTTTATTCTCTTTTTTTTTTTTTTTTTTTACTTTCATGGCTTTGTCAGTGGTGTTTCTTCCTCTTTTTGCTTAGCAAGCTGGGCAGCTGCTGCAGCAGTCGGAAGTTTCTTCAGGCAGTGAGGTGCAGGTTCACTGCACTGACTCCGCTGCTGCTGTGCCTGTGGAAAGCAAACACCTGGCTGAGGAGGATTCTTCTCCACTAGTGGAGTTAAGAGAGGATTAAATGCTGGTTGCCAAGAAAGTAGAGGCATAATCAGACATAATAATCCATGCCTAGGCTTATTGTACAAAAATCTCTGGAGAAGTTCTGGCAAACTATAGGCTCACATAAATAGAAATGTTCTGTGATCCCCTGTATCAGTGAGCACCAGTTTGCCATGTTTGTTTTTAATGGGAAAATCTGTTTCTTAATGGCAAAGACTCACACGGGAAGGTCCGAGCTCTTTCTCCTCAGAGTTGTGCCTAGTTGTAGGTCAGGGTTGGGTGTCAGCCCCAGCTGACTGCCCTCAGCCACAATCCAGCTGTTCTGTTCTGAACTGACTGTGCCACGAGCCCCCTGCACAGCCCTCAGGTTGTTTTCTTGGACCTTGAAGGTACTGCAGCACATGAAAGCGATCCAGTCCGAGCAGGATCGACAACGGCAACGGAAACTCCAAGCAGAGCGAGGTAGGCACAAAGAGCCCCCATGTGCTGTCTGCTGAGGACTGCTCTTGGTCTCTCTAACACACCCAGACACACTGAAATCCATCTAACAAATTGCCATCTAACAAGTACTTGTAGCCATCCAAATCCTGAAGATTCAGGGAGTAGAAGGGTAGAAGGGCTGGAGGGGGAAACATAGCAGGGGGTAACTATGTGATTTCTTGCCTGAATAATATTTAGATTTCTAGATGGAAAGTGGTATAGGTTACCTATAAAAATATGAAAGAAAAGCATGGGATTTACTTTAAGGGAAGTCTGAGGGAGCAAAATGCAAGGTTTGTAATACTAAATAAAATTATAAAAAAGAGGATAGTTATTTAATTGGTTTCTTCATTCCAATCGGGACCAGATAAGCAGGTAAAAAGGAAGATGGCAATGACAACCCTTTAGATAAAAGGGAAAAACTTCCTGTTAATCCCCAGAAATGGAGAAGAAGCGTGAAGCAGAACAGCGAGCAAAGGAGGCTCAAGAGAGGGAACTGCGGAAGCGAGAGAAGGCAGAGGAGAAGGAACGCAGAAGGCGGGAATATGACGCTCAGAAAGCTGCAAAACAGGAGATGGAGAAGAAAACCAAAAAAGAAACAGTGCAGACCCGAAGTAAGTGGTATCAATTTTGGGTGGGATTGCATCAGATTTCATCTTCATCAGACTTTGATGCTGCCAGAATTGCTTTCATGTGGGCCGGGTACTGGGAGATGGTGGGAGTGGGCAGGGGGAACCTGTAGGAGTTCTGATAAACTCTTGCTGCTGTCCCCTTTTCCTCTTTGCCTGTGCTCCCATGAACTGTGGAGCTACAAGATTCAAGAAGTTCTCCAGCTGTTCCTAATGAGAACTTCCCTCCACTTATTTCAAGTGTACTGAACTACACGTGCAAAACCAGATCTTGTGCAACACAGAGGTGCTTTACACCCTCTTCACTGCTGCCCATGAAACTAAATCTGAAACTTTTCACGATAAACAGTTAAATCCTGCACATCTACCTATTTATCAGAGCTAAGTAATGAAAATTCATGACAAAAGCCAACTGCAGCAGAGGCTGAAGTATCTTACCTGAGCAGTTTGTTTCTGAACTCAGACTGTTAAAGATATTAGATTAATTCCTCACATTTTGTCCTGTCTGTGTTCTCATTACAGAGCCGGCCTCCAGCTCCCGTCCCCCTCAGCCCCCCCGGCACAAGCCCTCGTGGTCACGGTCGGTGCTGAGGGTCCTGCTCTTCGTGCTGTTCTGCATCCTGTGTGCTCTGGCCGCCTGCAAGCTGACAGAGCTGCAGCGTCAGCCCCTGTGCGTCAGCGTGAACACCCTCTACGAGGACGTGGTGGCTGCCCTGCAGAACCACAAGACCCTGCAGAACATGCTACAGCACAACTCGCAGCAGTGATTGTCCTGGACGGGCACTTGCTTCGTCAGCATCTCCTTCCACCATCTACGCAGCCGGAATTCCTATGGAATTGTGTTCTGATGAAACTGCTTTGAACCAGTCAGCGTTGGTTTGCTGGTCCACTCCACAGAGCAGAGTTATTGTTCAGATCATCTTTGCTGTGCATGTTTTGCAGTTGGCCTGTAACTCCCATTTTTTGCGCACGTTAAACCTAAACTTGTTACCACTTCTCACCTCCAAGTGGTGTTCACCAGGATTGTGAGGTACAGGAAGCTGCCAGTCTATAGGAGTGGGAAAAACCAGCCCTCACCTTGCCTGGGTAGCTGTAGCTCTGGGCTGGAGGTGGAAGGTTTTTAATACATATCCATTCCTTGCTCTCATTTCTGTTTGTGCTAAAATTGGTGATATGGCTGTATGGGAATAACACACTAAGGCCCACTCCAGGACCAATTACAGGCATGTAGGATGGCTGTGCATCCGTATGTTGGAGCGAAGAGGCTGATGTGCTATTGAAAGGAGCTGATAATTTTCAATACAACAGTTTTCACAGCAATTTGTCTGAACTGGATGTTTGTGTTGTTAACGCGGTTTTAGTTTTAATTAGGTCCTTTAGGAACAGCCACAAATGATTTCAGAGTACACACAGGAACGATTCCTGCCTGCTGTATCCATGGTGGCAGCACTGGGTGGCACTGTGGGAGCACTGCTGGCAGGAAAGGGATTAGCCTTGGGGCTGGGGGAAGGCCGGGAAGTTTAGTGGCTTGCACCTGGAGAAGAAAACTCTCCTCTGCAAAGTCCTATTAATCATTTATAATTTCCCTAGAAAATATTTAAAATTAACTAATTTTAAATTTTCCTTATTAAAAAAATGGAACAGAAGTTTGTCATATCCTTAAGGGCTTTGTGAGTACTAAAATGAAGTTTGGTTTCAGAGAGTATCCGTGCTACTGACTCCACCGAGACACCCTACACTTGTCCCCAGAGTCGCTCTCTCTTCTCATACCTGGGATAATCACTGCCAAGAGCAGTGCTGTGGGGAAATCATCTGTAGCAGTTCACACCAAGGTCACCATCGAAACCCTCACCTTTTTGTAACCTGATGGTAAGGCTGTGGTTCCCTGAGTGTCACACAGGATGGAGCGGCAGCATGAGTATCAGATAAAGGCAGGAAGGGCTGCCTCTGCCTTAGCAGGGTGTATGCTTCCAAAGCTTCCTTCAAACGACTTTAAGCTTTGCTTTTGGTGTGTAACTCATCCTGTTCTTTAAAAGATCCTTGCTCCCTATCCAGAAACGTTCAGGAAAACAACAACATCCAAAGCAACATTTTCCTCCCTGCAGCAATTCCTGCCAGCGGCTGGGCGGGCTCAGCTGTGCTATCCAGGCAAGTGCTGCAGAGGTTGGCAAATGCTGGGCTAATACAATTTATTGATTCAGGTCAGCAGCGCTGCTGGCCAGGCCAGGGCTCCTGCTGGATGCCAGGAGTGAGCATGGCAGGTGGGGTTTTTCCACTGGAGGCAGCACAGTTCCAAAGAGTTAACTTGCACACATCAGATGCAGTTTAATTCTCTCAGCACTCATCTCAGTAAGTGCTGCTGTCACAAAAGCCCTCAACTGTCCTTGTGTGCACACAAGTGCTAATGGCTGCATGGACAGGCCATGCTCCCCAATCTAATTAAAAGGAAGCTTTTTCTGCCAACTGTTTAGACCTCATAATTCCAACACATATAATCAGATTTTGAGACCCTCTCTAGATTAAGCTGTCTGGAGACTGAATCAGGGCAGTCTAAATTTATATCTGAAAATTAGTCTTACTCATTCCCATCTGCTACAGTGGAACACAGAGTCTGTTTTGTGAGGTAAAGTTCTTCCACCTCACTAGAGCAGGTGCTGGGGCGGCAGCACTGTGTTGTTTTAGCATCAGGATTTGTCCCAGAGGACATAGAAGGTTGCAGTTCAGGAGAGCAGCAGGAAGCATTCCTTTCAACAGAGGACATACCTGTCTATATGCAAGACAACTCATTAAGAAGCAAAGATTATTCAAAATGATTTATTTTATAGAAAGACAAAGAATGCTGACGTGCTATGAACTGTGTGCAACTCATGCTCTTGGGGAAGACGTTCACCATTTTTCTTGTATAAACTCCAGCCATTCAGCAACTTTATCCAACTTTTTTCCTGCTATGATAAAGTCTAAATGTGCTTCAAGTCTTTAAACGAGGATCAATGACTTATCTAAGCACTTCTTCACAGAAGAAAACTGAACAGTTCAACCAGTCAAACAGTAAAACCCTTATTCCCTGGAGCTACCAGTGAAATCCAAAAGTGAACCCTTCGACCAGACAAACAGTAAAACCCTTATTCCCTAGAGCTACCCAGTGAAATCCAGACAGAGGTCAGGATTGTGGGAAGTCATCTGCAGGTAGATGCGTCGGGACAGCTCCGGGCCGATCCGCCGGGAGGTGGCTGTCACACCCTCGCCGCGGTGCACTGGGATATTGGCTAGCATGTTCTCACGCTCCTGGTCTGAGGAGCATTTTCCATAGGCCTAAAAGCAACACAAAGGAACAACACTATTATCCATTGCTCAAAAAAACAATCAAAGCCATGCACCTGTGACTGCTCTACCCTTCCACAATGTCTGCTTGGTTTTCACTTGGTCCCTCCCCAGTCCCATCCGTGAGCTTGGAGAGAAGAACCAATGCTTCTCCCTTAGTGGTCTGCTCTGGGAATCCAAAGCAGTGGATGTCAAGGAATCAGCTCCTTCACTACCTTAGTGGAGTGCTCATACAGAATCGCTGTATCTAATTTAATACCGATTAAATGATTTCTTCCACCCCTTACATCAGCTGGCCGCCTGCACACAGTGCCAGGTATTCCTGAGGCATCCTCACCTGGATCAGAAGCTGAGGAGAAGGGTAGGCAGACACAATAGCCTCAGCCATCGCAGGGCTGACCCGGTTAAATTGCTGTATCTGCCTGTTCCAAACTTTCAAGAGACCCTTTCCAGAATGATCCACCTTTACCCCTCCACACCAACGCTTCTCCAAGTAGAAAGAGAACCCCGTATCCTCTCGTTCTCGCCTAGGGAGAACAAGGAATGAGGAAGGGAATGAGACAATGAAGAAAATCCTGTCCCTGTGTCTGTAGTGACAGAGCCAGAACACTGTCCCTCACTCGTGCTGTTAGAGACACCGCTGGCATCAAAAGAAATGTTGACAATTTGACCCTATTTGCTTTATATTCATTACCAATTTCTTTTAAGACCCAGATTGATATGGAAAAAAAGCAATCCTGACACAAGCCAACACACAGAAAAAGTGGTAAACAAGAATTCACCTTCTGGCTGTCAACCACAACACTTTCACATGAATTTTTAACATCTCATCTCCTTTCATAGCTGACATGGAAAATCCGGTAGCTACTGCAAAGGGAATGCCAGGATTGTGTGAGACTGCATGAGATGGCTTTCTGAGCTATCGCTGTGTAACACACTGCTGTCCTTCCTTAACAGAAACAGCAAAGTGGTTCATTCTCAGGCACAGTAGAAGAAAAGCTGGTGCTGTAAGAGCCCAGCCCTACTCGCATTGCCTTCTCACTCTGAAAATCTGCCTGAGAACAAGAGCTTTACTTGATGTCAAGACTCCAGGGTGAAACCTGAGGGTGCTGAGGCACTGGAACAAGTAGCCCAGAGAAGCTGCAGCTGCCCCATCCCTAGAAGTGTTCAAGGCCAGGCTGGATGGAGCTCTGAGCAACCTGGTCTAGTGGGAGGTGTCCCTGCCCATGGCAGGGGGTTAGACTAGATGATCTGTAAGGTTCCTTCCAACCCAAACCAGTCTGTGGTTCTGTGAAATCAGGGTCTGTCCTCACCTCTCCAAGGGCAGGACATCAGTTTGAAGAACAAGTCCTGTGTTGAGGGAGCTGCATTAGCAGCTGCTGTGTGTTGCCTGCTCCTTTAAAAACCATTATACACTGTGTTGTCCCTGCTATTCTCTCCCAGTAACTGAAAGTGCAGCCTCTTCAAAAGAAGGACCAAACCTCCTCTGCTTACTCACTTGAATGGTGCCTCAGCCACAGCTTTTGTGAACATAGTGGCATATTCCCCGAGCTCCTCACAGCTGTCAAAAAAGCTGACCTGGACTTGTGTGCACAGCTGCAGATCCACCAGGGCCTGTACCACCATTGGAAACAACAAATGGGACAATCAGTCTTGTCACATCAAACCCTACTTTCGTCTGAAACAGAAAAGGGTTACAAAGATCTCACTGTAGAACAAGAACATCTGCTCTCTCCCCATTTTGGGAACAGTTAATTTACGGCACTGAAGTATTTAAGGGCAGTCTGTCTCTGCCAGGTAGTATCAGTTCAGTGTCCTCTGAGCTGCCACAGCTCCTCCATGGCACACTCTTGTTACACACAGGCCACCACAGATGGGCTTTGCCAACTGCATCCTCCCATCCAAGAAATGGTGTGACTAGGTCAAATGTTCAAACACTGACAGACAACAGATGATGGCTGCATATCTGTTTTAAAAGGTACTCACTTCTTCCATGTCCATTCTGGTTAACTCCAGGCCAGAATCCTTAATTTTCTTTTTTCTCCCTCTTCTCTGTTCCTCTTGGTTCCCAGGTGCTGCTGCCTGTTGCAGCCTCTGTTTTGACTGAACTCTGAGGGACCTAAAAAAGTAAAGTAAGACCAGGGTGAGAGGCTGGATGGGCCTTTGCTTCTGTTTTTGTATAACAAACAGCAGAGCAGATCTGGGTGGGAATACCACTTATACTTCAGTCTTTGCTAGTAGGAGTTAACGTAAACACCTATGGCATTTTTCAAGGCCAGAGAAAAACATAGAAGTGTTTGGAGGGAAAGAAGTTTGACCTGAAATAATTTTCTACTCCAACTACTGCCAGAGCTAGAATTTTCCCGGGTAGTTTCTCCATCACGTGAGCTACATAGCTCTGCAGGGTCATCTTCTGCCCTTCTGTGCAGTTGTCAACCTTCTGCAAAGATGGGAAAAAAAGGGGTTAAACCATTCTGAGGTACACATGGAAGCACAGCAAACTATGGCTCTGGTTCTGGTTTTGCAGATGAGTCTGTTCACACTTGCTCTTCAGGGCAAGCAGGCAATACTTGACCCTGTGTACAGTTATAGCAGAAATAAAAAATAATTCCCACTTGATGGAGCAATGTTACCTCTTCAGGGATGTGTGAACATTTTTAACTAGGAAAGAAAGTTTGTCAGAACTTTACACTATACAACCCAGTGGTTTTGATCCATGAATGGCTCAAAACCCCAGATTTCTGTTTTACTGAAACCCTGCATTCATCCCCCACATAAGGTTTTGTCCCACACTGAAACATTCCTGCCACAAAGAGGGATGACAAAACACCAGTTTTGCATCAAGGCATGTACAGGAGCGCAAAAGTCATAAGCATTCTCACTTGTTTGTAACTTTGAGCCATGGACAAAAACTCCCCCAAGCCAAGCAGAACCAGGACATTTGGTTCTTCTGTCCGTTCATCTCCTCCTCCCATCTGTTCAGATATGAAAACAAACAGTCAGGCTAACAGTCTGTTCAGAATTCACTCAGACTCCCACTCAAAGCAGGGAGTTTAGGAGGTGTTTACTTGAATTGCTAAATACAATTACGAGGGAGTGCAAATAATAGACGAAAAAAAGGCAAAAACATCAAGATTTTAGTTGCGCACCTGAGACGACACAGTCTTTCTCCTCCAGGTGATGCTGCAGGGAACAGCCTGGTTCTCAACCACACAGGAATAACTGGCAGCCTCCAAAGCCCTAAGGATCTGCTCACCACCTTCTACCTGTAAAAGGGCTGAAATCGGCACATGGGTCAGGCCTCCACAGAGAGGAGACAAACAGCCAGTGCAAAGCAGGTGCAGGCTGTGAGGACAACTACCTGGATCCAGCACCACTGTTATGTATTTCTGGCACTCTCCCGGCCGCTGAGCTTTCAGCGTCTTGGCAAGGGCTCTCTTCCTCTCTTTCTCCTCCTCCTGCAGCCTCCTCTTCGCTTCTCGTTCCTTCCTCCTCTCCCATGCAGCCTGGCAGACTGCCTCCCTTTCCCTCTGACTATACTGTCGCTTCTTGGGAGGGAGGGACGTTTCTGTGCTTGCTCCGCTTACCAGGGGGCTACTGGGCTCGTCTTGGCCGACCGGCAGCGCGGGTCCCTCAGCACCGCAAATGCTGTTTTCACCGCCCCAACACCCTCCTCCAGACGGCGCTGGGTCTCCCCACGGCCCTTCGCCGCCCAGAGCCACCAGGTCACCACTAGCGCAAAGCCCGCCGCCCGGCTGCCAGCAGGGCTCAGAACCCGCTCCCCCTCTCGCCGCGACCCTGCCACGCAAAGCGGCGACCACCTCCTCCGCCGCCTCCTCGCCCCCGCTGCTCACCACCACAACTTCGGGGTCGGGAGACGGGGGCTGCGAGGGGCTCGGCTCGCGGGGGTCCAGCAGGGAGGACAGGCTGGGCAGCTCCTCCTCGCTGCCGCTCTCAGAGCGCGGCTCCGCCATCGCGACCCTTCCCCTCAGAGAAAACCCCTCACGGCTGCCCCTGAGGTTGGGGGGAGGGAGAAAGCCCGCGCTGGGCGCTGATTGGCCCGGAGGCGTGCGCCGCCAGGTGCGCGCGCACCCCGCCATCCCAGCGTGGGGAGGGGGGAGAGGAAGGGAACAAGATGGCGGCGCTGGGGAGGCTCTGTGAGTGAGGGGGCGGTTTCGCCCTCTGAGGGGATCGGGGAGCGGGAGGGTGAGCTCGAAAGGGGTTGGGGCCGTGCGCCCCCCCCACCCCCCACGGGAAGTCGCTCCGCGGGATGTCGCGTCCCCCCCCCACCCCGGGGAGCTCGGGGGGTCAGGGGTTTCGCGTTTCGCCCTGCGGGCTGAGGCGGAGCCGCGGCGGAGTGGGCGGGTTTGTGTAAGTGAAAGTGTGACTGTGGTTCGCTCCGTGACAGATTGCCTGTAGTTTGTCACGTGCCGGAGGCTTTCGTTTGCTTAGTGCGTCGTCTCCTGAAATTAGTGGGGTTTTGTAGGGCAATTACCCTTTTCTCGACATGGAATCATGGGCAGGTTTGGGTTGGAAGGGGCTTTAAATATCATCTTGTTCTATCCCCCTGCCGTGGGCAGGAACATTTTCCATTATCCCAGGTTGCTCCAAGCCCCATCCAACCTGGCCTTGGACACTTCCAGGGATGGGGCAGCCACAGCTTCTCTGGGCAACCTGTGCCAGGGCCTCACCGCCCTCACAGGGAAGAATTTCTTCCCAATGTTTAACCTAACTCTTCCCTCTGTCAGTTTGAAGCCATTCTCCCTTGTCCTGTCACTCCATTCATTGTCCAAAGTCCCTCTCCAGCTCTCCTGGAGCCCCTTTAGGCACGGGAAGGGGCTCTAAGGTCTCCCTGGAGCCTTCTCCAGGCTGAACCCCCTCAGCTCTGTGCTTCAGAGTCCCTTATTGCCACTCCCAGGGCTCTGTAATCCTTCTTAAAGTCATTAATCATAAAATCACAGAACCATTAAGGTTGGAAAAGACCTCCAAGATCATAAAGTCCAAACTTTCTACTCCTTTTGGATACTCAAACTGCTCCTGGCTGTATCGCTGATTATATGTCTAAATATTGTACTGAATTGGAGTCTGCTTATTTGTAAGATTTCAGAATATAACTGTGTGAGTAAATGCCATTTGGTCAAAGGGGAAACTGAAGCAGAGATCACAACTGGTCTACTTGCCTTTTGTCAAAGCAATGTAAGAGGAGTATAAGCAATTAAGGGACATCTCTACTGCATTTTGCAAGAATGAAACAGGAATTTGTGCATGTCCTTAAACATCGTTTCTGAGAGTTTTATTCCTCCCTGGGCAGCAGCAGCAGCACTTGAGATGTGTCCTCTTTGCAGAGGACTTAGGCCATGGTGGTCTAATTTATCTTGGAAGTACTTTTTTTTTCCCAGAGGGATTTCATTTGCCTTTTGTTTTAAAGCCTGTCTTAACTGATACCCTTTACATCTGACAATTGAAATTATGTGTAATAGTTTTTCCAGCTGATGTTGTGGTTCTTTTTCCAAACCTAGTTCTAACCACTCCCCAGACAAGCCTGGTTGCTGTCAGATGGGCTTCTAAGAAAAGCGGGGGCAGCTCCAAAAACTTGGGTGGCCGCAGCCCTGGGAAACGCTACGGGTTCAAAAAAGTAGAAGGTAGGTTTGATGGAGGTCGTTAGCCCTGTGTGGCCATCCATCTATGAGAAGGACACTCTAAACAAACCTACGTCCTGAGGACCTCACTGCCATTGTCCAAGCTTGCTTGGCCCCGGCAGATGAACCTTAGGATTAAAGGGTGGGCTCAGTTCAGCGCAGGCTGTGTCTCACCTAAAAAAATCCATTGTGCAGGCTGGAAAGGTAAAAAGACCTTTCCCCAAATCTTCGTTCGCGAAGATGGGCCATTAAGTTAAGGTCTGAGCACCTGCTGGGTCTTATTTGCATTTCACTGGGTTCTTCACAGCCTCTCCCCTGGTACTTGTCACTTGTTGAGTGTTTCAATAGGAGGCGGGCAGGGCGTTTTCCAGGAGAAGGGAAAGGGGAGGATCAGTGAAGCCCCGTGATCAAGGGTCGCTGGTGGGAGGGTGGGGTGAGTCAGCCTCCCACCCCAGGAGCCCTGCCGGCCACCAGCCAAAATTGCCCACAGAAAATGTACTTTGGTTTATCCTTTTCCTCTCTGGAGCACCCGGAGGGAGGGAACGCTGTGGGACACCTCATAACTGCACTGCACTTTCCCCCCACGCTGGGTGGAAAAACTGAGTATTTCCAGTGTTTACAAAGGAGAGAATTACGAGGCTTAGCAGAAGCCAAAGTGCAGATTCTTGCAGCTGAGTGCTCAGTAATTATTAGCTTTGCTGATGGAAACATATCGATGTAAAGGTAATAAAACAAATGCCTTCAGCAACCAGAAAATGCCTTGTACCCCAGAAGCAATCTTTTCACGTTTGACTTTTTGCCATGCTCTTTATCAGTTGTCCCTTATTTCCTGCTAACAGCATATTTATTAAGATGCTTTTAGCGTTTAAAGTAATTTTTCCTAGGAAAATGCCCACAGAAAGTTGTGATTTGTAATTCCTGGAACAACTTGTGTTCTGCCAGGGCTTTGGGGAGCTGCTTCTCTAGAGTCTGACCCTGTCACTCTCTTGCAGGTGCCTTTGTCCATGCAGGCAACATTTTGGCTACGCAGCGGTTGATCCGCTGGCATCCTGGCGCTCAGGTAAGGCCTTTTCTCTCTCTTCCCTGGTTCTCAGAGAACAGCAGCCCACCCAGAGTCCCACACCCACTGCCTCCTCTCTTTCAGTCTCATTCTTAATGCTCATCCCTGTGTTCTGTTATGTCCTGACATCAGGGTTTCATCACCTGGTCACAGAGCCTGCTCAGAGCCACCCCTGTGTCCATGAGACTCAGGGAGGACTGCAAGTTATGGATATCCCAAAACACTTCTGTGGCCTGACTGGGCACTTGTCCTTCAGGGTGAAATGGGTGTCTCCTCCCTCGTACTGAGCACCATTGCAGACTGATTGCTTGGAAGCAAGTTGTGTGGCTTTCTTTTATTTTAAAATACAAAGCAACAGATGCTGTTGAAGCCGGGATATCAAACGAGGCAGACCAGCGATCAGATCTGCTTTAGCTGGGGGCCTCCAGCCCCTCCTTTCTAACGCTCTTCATCCTCTCCCAGGTGGGGATGGGCCGTAACAACACACTCTACGCCCTGGAGGACGGGATTGTGAGATACACCAAGGAGGTCTATGTGCCCCGGCCCCGCAAGAGCGAGAGCAGGGATGTGATCTGCCGCCTGCCCAAAGGAGCCATCCTTTATAAAACCTTTATCAATGTCATCCCCAACACAGAGGTAGGAAGCTTCAAACTGGTCACCATGCTGTGAGCCTCCTGCGTCACACAGGCACGGATGGGAAGGACAGACCACTACAGCTGGACTGGCATCTGAGGATGAGAGTATTCTAGCTCTGGAGATGCCGGTTTAGGACTTGGTTTTGCTCCTAAAGCACAGGTGGTCAGTATTCAGGCACTGGGATCACCTGCTGGCATTTGTAAGAGTGTTTAATAAATGCAGTGGAGCAGCTGAAGGTCTTGGCTGATCACAGAATGTGTTAACCACGTTCATTTAGTATCTGGACAACCTGTTCCATTGTGCTACTGGATGACTTCCCTCTACAATCACTCTTATGATTCCCTCTATTTTTACTCATTTTTAGTCATTACTGTTCTATTTGTACCTTAATTCACAATACTGCAGAACAGATCCTTTTCCACGTGCATCTAACGCTGTGTTCCAGGAAGCTGGATTTTTCCCTCTGTCTAACTCACCTCAATGATTAACTCAAATACCTGAATGTTCCATTCACTCGCCATGTGAGGCAAGTTCACAGGCATAACTCTTAACTCATGACTAAGTTCTGGGGCCTGGTAAGATACCGAAGTCTGGGCTGGCATTTGAAGCTCAGCAGCTGGAGGTGTGTCATAAAGCCATAATCCAGGAGACTTATCCTTTTATCTTTGAGTCATTACATGATATTTTTGAGCTTATATTGCTCGAAATGAAGGAGCCCAAATGACTTGTGGCCAAACTGATCTCATTTTATCTACAGGTTGATAAACAATTTGAAACATTGACTCTGCAGTAGAAAACAGGTTATCAAAATTGGTGGTGTAAGGACACCGGTGTTGACATTATTAGACAGTTCTTCTGCTCTGCAGAAGACCAGGTGAACTGGGTCAGCCACACGTGTCCACCTGTGCTTCACATTCTTCATGGAGACCACCAGCTCTTGTGTCCACACGTCTGTCCTTCCCCCGACTGCAAATCCAGTCCCATGGTTCATCTCAGTGGTCGGTGTTTGCACACAGCAGGTAACACAATCCCCAGAGCCTCTCCAAATCTGTGTCTGAGGTCTGTACAGACCTGCTGTTGGTCTCAGGCCCATTGCTCCAGAGCACACAGCGATGCTCCAGTGCAGATCCACTCACAGTGGGGATCCCCACCTGGCAGCCAGTACAGGGATACAGTAAAACACCTGGTAACCTACGAAATGAGTGAAGTAGCATGACACCAGGAGTGTCTGAGGTCTGATCCTTGGTGCAGCCGGCAGTGCTGCCTCACTGAGGTACAATGTGCTGCTCCTGAGGAGCTGTGGCCGAGCAGACCTTCCCCTTGGCTTTGCCCTGTGCAGCTCCAGCAGCTGGTCCATCTCCTTTGGTAACAGTGTTTGCCAGAGAAGAGCAAGCAGATGTCCCTGGTTGCTCTGCTGGCTCCATGGTTGTCCTTGTGCTGCAGGAGGGATGGCAGTGCTGGCTGGGTCTCTACTGATTGTGGATCTGGGTGAAGGTTTGGCCATTCCCTGCGGAGGGGAACAGTGTCCCAGGCACTTCTGTCGCTGACAGCACAGGAAGCAGCAGCAGCTGAGGCCGAGGCCTTACACCGCTGTGTTTCGCTGAGTTTGGTAGCTGAGAGGGGCATGGAAAGGGTCTGGAACTCCACATCTGTCCAAGGTCTCTGAGCTTATTCCTGATCCTGAGAGAGCTGGAGGATGCCTCAGAGCGTGCTCATAGGGAGGTGGCATCTATTGAGGAGAGAGGAAGAGCATTACAACAGATCAGAAATAACGAGGAGATTATCCCACCTCTTCTTACAGAGCGGATGACAAGGCTCACAACCACCACCAGCCTGAAATTAAGCCCCCGCAGCCCCCAGCACAGCCGGCTGTTGGCGGGGGAGCACATGGAGACAATCTTAGCATCAGTCTGCGACACAGCACAGCAGAAACCTGCCCCCCTCACACTGTGTGCCACGTTCCTGCTCTTCCCTGTTCCCCTTCAAGGACTTGGCACGAGGCCAGAAAAGACTTGACTTTTGTTGAGAGAGGACTGTTATTCACTTTCCTTTAACCAGGGAAAAAATCACTGGGATTAACGCCAGCACCTACAAACCAGGCTTTCTACCCAGGTTTCAGCAGTGAGTCTCACTGTGTAGCAGCAGAGAAGAACCTCCAGGCCTTGTCACGTTTATTCTGGCAGAGCTGGACTAACCTTCACCCCACAGCACGTGACGGGAGTAGCCCAGGGATTTTATGGAAGAGCTTCCATTGCAGTTCCTCAGCTACTTGTCCTTGGGGATTTGCTTTCCTGTTCTCTCAGTGCTCTGGTTTCATAAAATCATAGAATGGTTTGGGTTAGAAGGGACCTTAAAGATCATCCAGTTCCAACCCCCTGGCATGGGCAGGGACAACTTCCACTAGGTCAGGTTGGTAGTTTTAGGGCAGGTACCGTTTGTTACAGCTCCAGACACTGAGTGGCAAGTGCTCACTATGCCAGACTTCATGGTACAGCTTTAAGAGCTCAAAATCCAGGTAAATCAGTGAACTTACAGTGCTCTGCTCAGAGTTTCATAGGTTTTTGTTCTGCTTTAGGCAATGAGGTCTCTGTTAACAGGAGCCTCTCAGAATGCTGCTGCAGGACCTACTTGGCAGGTGCACTTGCTTTTCCCTGTTCTATTGTGGGAGTACAAATCCAAAGTATCATAACAGGCAAAGCATCCTGCTCATAAATAAGCCATAAACACTTAAAGGTAATAGCAAGGGACCTCCCAGGAGTGTCCTGCAGGGAGAAGGGAGCAAGAACCCATGGAAGCCATAAAGATCCAAAAATAACATTCCCAGCTTGGACTTGTATGGAGCAGGTGATCTGAAGGGCCTGTTCTTTCTCCCCGGGGCTCTGCCCTGCCTCCCAGCACAGGCATTTCGGCAAAACACACCAGGGGGGAGATGATCATTAACTAGCACAGATGTACACCAAAGGAGCCTCCCGATACACTTTGTGCTTTTCCAGAGATAAAAGCTATCAGGGAAGGGCAATCACAGAGAACAGAGTCCTCAGCTACCACCAGCTGCTGAAGCAAGACACAGATATGGGCCAGAGCAGGGACTCTGCCAGCCCCCTGGGCAGGGAGGGGGAGCTCACCTCCTGGGATGGCTCTGCCCACAGCCCAAACCTCTCGGCGATCATCTGATGGATTTCCCGCTGGCGATCTTTCTTCCGCACGCTCTCGTAGCTTGGCAGGCGGGGCTGCTCCCAGGAAGGAAGCCGGTAGGTGCTGGGGGGTCCAACACAGAAGAGCTCATCTCCCTAGAAATGCCCATCCCAGGAAAGAAGGGTTAGTGGGACAGTGGCTCTCTTCACTGGAAGTTCATGGCCTGGTGCCGCTTTGAGTTACTTCAGGGTTCAGAGTTGCAGGTGCCCTGTCGTCAACTCCTAGAGAGGAAATCCCTCCCAGGAGGCAATTACACCTTGACATACTTTGCAGGATCCGAAGCCATCAGGAATCTACTTGGCACTTCATGCTCCAACACCTCAGGGCACCGTGGTGTCCTCAGTAGTATCCCTGCCCCTTACACCCCACCTCCCCCTAGGGTTTTACATACAGGCAGCACTTCCCAAAGCTGTGGGACAGCACTAGAAGATGCTGTCCAGCACCTTCTCCATAGGTGAACCCAATAACTACAGTCTCTTCCCAACCTCATGAGCATCTTTGCCCCCATTCCCGCCCAGCTCCTGTCAGGGATCCTGCCATCACCTGCATGCCGGGGTTCTCGGCAGCGCTCTCCAGCCGGGAGGCTCCACGCTGGGGTCCCACCAGCCGCTGGCTGCTGCTGAAGTAGGGCGGGGGGCGGTCCTGCAATGAGGAGGACATGAGCAAAGTCAAAATCCCTCACGTCCTGCCTGGCAGCTCACATGGGACAGCATGGGAAGTGGGACCCTGGCAGAGGAAGAGCTGCTCCCTCTGCCCACCTGGTTCGTGCAGCTCTCGCTGCTGGCAGTCTCTGCCTGTTCCACAGCGCTGATGGCTCAGGCACATCCTCTCTGGCAGCACAGGGCCTGCTCCAAGGGGCACAGCACAGCCAGAGGGATAGCCTGGGCCCAGGGCAGGGTTTCACTGAGACTCAGCAGAACCATCTGTCTTTGGGGAACAACAAAACCCAACCCAATTATTCCGCTGATGTGGATAAGAGCTCTGTTGTGTGCTCAGGGTCACAGAACTTGTAAACTCTTCTCTACCGAGGTTGTCATTTCAGGATAACGCAGCAGGCAGATCTGCAGGGCAATAGCTGTGCCACTCCTGAGCAGTCTTGCTCCAGTTAAACTGGATTCCCTGTCAAGGTGTTGAGCAACAGTAAGCAGAAATCCTACTCACAGAGAACAGCCCCTCGAGCCAGAGCCAGGACTTGAACCTTGGCCATTCCTTGCTCCCAGAAAACCCTATCTCTGTCAGCAGGAAACAGCCGAGAAACTCCCAGGGCGGCACGTGAATGACTGATTTACTTTTGCTCTTAACAACCAAGGAACTGTTTGTCTTGGCCCTACAGCACAACTATGGAGGCTGCAGGAACACAGGGCCCAACTTGCGTATCAATAACTGATGAGCAAAACCAGTGCAACTACACCTGCCCAAAAGCTGCCTCACATTCTACAACTGCTTTACTTTACCTGATGGAAATATATCCTATACACATTCCCTTTCCGTATATAGTTCTTTGCATCCATCTTTCCCACGCAGCCCTGCTTGAACCTCCCACCCCAGAGCCAGGCCCCAGAATGGCACAGGCTCTGCAGCTCAGGGTGCATCCTCACTGCCTCAGGGAGCAGCTCCACAGGGCAGGGATCACGGCAGCAGGGCCTGCTCCCAATGTGTGCCATGGGCAGGGAGCAGGGAGGAAGGGGGGGAAAGGAGCAATGAATCATTCCCACTGTGATTTTTGCTGGGGACTTCCCAGCCTGCACTGGACTATTAGATTTGCCTTTCCCGGCACAAGTTTCTCTTTCCCTTGCTAGCGAGGCTGAATGTCCCCTCTTCTCCCTTAGAGGAGCCGTACCTGCAGCCCTCCCCTCAAGAGCCATCCAGCCCTGGAGCCCGAGCTTTCCCCAGGCAGTCACCACCACAAAAGCAGTGCTGGCTGCACACACTGCTCTTTTTTCATCAGCTTCCCCAGCTGAAAGCCAGCCCCAGGAAATTAGAGATGCGAGCGAAAGGGCTTTGTGTCTCACTGCTCCTTCCCTGGGAGCTGTGCACAAGAGAGCCAGCAGTCAGGGATGAGAGTGGCTTTGTCTGCCTTTGCCCTCAGCTTCCACCCCCCTTCCCTGCTGGGTCCCTTCCCGGTAAAGCAGAACCCAACCCCACACATGACTGTGCGGGGGGAGGAGGACACCCCCCTGAGCTGCGTGGGGAGCAGGGGCACCTGTTAGTGTTGGGTCTTGGAGATACAACCCCAATGGCACAGCCAGGCAGGACAGGGTGGGTGGACGGATCTCTGGGATAGAGTGGGAGCAAGAAGGCAGCAGAGCCCAGCTCATTCATCAGCAACCAGCCAGGCTGCAGGAGGGCAACCCGGCAGTGCAGCCCCACAGACCCAGCACAAGGGAAGAGGAGCTCGGGGGGCAGCCGGGGACTCATGGGCAGGAGGAAGAGAGGGAGGACTCGGAGGGCACTCACATACTGGCTGGGGGTCTGGAACAAGCGGCACGAGCAGAGGAACTGGCAGCACATGGGGTCCCGGTGGTACAGGAGCAGCAACAGGATGAGGATCGCCACGATGAAGACGGAGGTGGACACCGCTGCCGGGGGAAAGGAGCGGCGAGTGATCCGGTGGCCCGACGGGCCCGCGGGCCTCCTGCCGCTCGCCCTCGGCCCCTCGGCTGCCGCGGCACAGAGCAGCTTGGAGAAGCCCCGGAGAAGCCGGTTCCACCTGCTGCCCGTCCCAACGGCGCCAAAGCCCCTTTGTGCGCAACATCTCTCTCTCTCTATGAGACCGGGAAGAACCTGAAGAGCCGGGGCAGGGGCTCACCCCATCACGGACCGCGGCAGCGGGTCACCCCGCATCCCTCTCCCGGGGCTCTCGGCTCTCTCAGCACCACGGCAGGGTGCCGGCTCGCCAGCGCTCCTGTCTCCGGGAACCCACGGCTCCCACCCGGCCCACGCGCTGCTCCGCGGAGCCCACCGGCACCGCCAGCCCCCACGGGCACCGCCAGCCCCGCCACCCACCCCGCTCGGCCCCCAGCCCCGGGAGCCAGCGGGACCCCGCATTAGGACCGGACGCTGCAGCGATACCCCCAGACCGGGGTTATCCCCTCACCGGCACAGCCCGGGAGGCACCGGCAAAGGCCGATCCCCCCCGGCGGCCGCCCCCGCTCCGCTCTCGGCGGAGCCCGCTCCCGGCACTCACTGGCGGCGATGACGATGGCCAGGACGTTGCTGTCCATGCCCGCGCTGGCGGCCGCCGTGTTGCCCGAGGCCTCCCCGGGCTGCGCCATCCCGACCCCGCCGCCGGCAGCCCCTGCCCGCCGCCCGCGCCCCACCGGCCGCGACGGGCGGGGCGGGGCCGGGGCGGGGCCGAGGCGGGGCTGGGGCGGGCGGGCTCAGCGCTGCCGGGGCTCCCGGGCCGCTCCCCTCCGCACACGTGCCCGGGCCAGCCCGGCTCGTCCACGGGTGCCCCGGCCCCGTGCCGGGGTTACCGGAGCCCCGCGGGGCTCCCGGGATCACCAACACGCGACAGCCCCAGCGCTGCCCCGCTCCTGCTGGGCTGGGCTGCGGGAGGCTCGGGGCCCCGCAGGCACCAGGAGGTGCCCGCTCATTAGCTAATTAACACCTTAGTTAAGTGCCATGTCAAGGCTAAGTAGTCCGGTACCTGCAGGGCACACGCTGCCAGGGTGTAACCGGGCTCAGGCCCCGGCTCCGGGCCGTTCTCGTGCTCTCACCCTCTGGCCACATGCTATGAAAATCCCCAGCTTGGTTTTGGGTCATACATTATCCATGCGAGCAAGGTCACTCTGCCCCAACACCCCCACACCACCTGCCCCGGTGCCCAGGAAGGATTTACACCCTCACTGGGGTGAGCCCAAGCTCCCCCCACCCTTCAGGCCTTCTAGACCACCACAAAAACCTGACACAGGACTGTAGAGATATAGATATATTTGTGATGATGTTGCATATTTAAGACAACTTTACATAATGCTTCTGACACAGAGTTTTGGCATCCTCCCCTGTATGGCACCTCTCCCCTCCCACATCCCTCCACAGCTCCCAGAACACCCCAGGCAGGAGTAGGCACAGGAGGGGTGGGCCAGGTGCCAGCAGGTACCTGCCCTCACATACCAAGGTCTCCATCTCCTCCATTTTACAACACACGTCTTGCAGCACCAGCATCCTTAAAACTGGAGACTGGGAGGGTGAGACCTGCCAGGCAGGGGGAGATGGGACACAGGAGGAAATTGAGGATGGCACAGATCCATGGAGACAGCAAAATCCCACCGGCTCCTGAGACCCTGCTTTGAGCAGAGGGTTGGGCCAGACAGGCTCCAGATAATCCCCAGCTGTGATGTGTCTTGCCAGGGTAAAACCAAACCCAGACTTCTCCAGGCAGCATCAGTCTTGGAGAAAAGAATGTTGGAGGCAGACCCCGAGGATATCCTGGGAGGACAGCAGGGAAGGGGGATGCTCCACTGCAACCCTTCCCAGGAGGAGGTGGCGTCTCTTCCCTCCGGAACAGAGGGAAGCAGGAACAGCAGAGAGCGGATGGAGCCGGCTGGACCTTGTCTCGCCTCTTTGCTTTTTGTCCAGGGAAGCACAGCAGGTCCCAAGAGCTTCTGCTGATGCAGGAGAAAAGAAAAGGTCGGGCCAAGGAGCTGTGGCATGGGGCAGCCCTCCAGGCACGGCAAGCTGCTGTCTCATCCACAGCAGGACGTTGGCCCCACGGACGATGTTTTGGCAGGGGATGGGGGCATCCCTTTGCTGGAGCAGAGATGAAAGTGGCCGGGTCTACAGCGGCTTGTTGGCCTGGAACCACGCACTGAGCGCTCCCCATTCGCTGTCACACAACACACCAGGGCTCCAGACATTTGGCACAGTTGGGCAGCTGCCCCATGGGACAGGCAGCACCCCACAACCTGGGGCAACCCTGCCCCAGGGCAGCAGGCTGCAGGTCCCCAGCAGCCCCCAGCAGGAAATGGGCAAACGGCAAAACAATAATAATAATAATAATTAATAATAATAAAAAAATACGTAAACAACCCAGCACCCTGTCCTGTAGCACCAGGACACCTAAGAGAACAAGGTATGTTACAGTCTGAGGGGAGATGGAGACACAAGGATTTCCCAGCCAATGCGGGCCCTCGTCTCTATTGCACTTTGCATCATATATATTTCTATATATATATATTTATAAAAATACAAACTAAAGGGCTGGGGTGGAGGGGATGAGATGCAAGCCCTGGGCCAGCAGCAGTTCTGTGCACATAGCAGGCTTTGACTCGTTCTGCTTTTGCCTGTCCCCAGTCCCTCGCCAGCCCCCTGGGGGGCAGCCAGCAGCAACGGCCTGGTCCTGCTGAGCTCCAGCCCAGGGCTGGGCAGGGTGCTGAGCTGGTCCAGAGCCCACCCACACACCAGCTGTCCCTCCCTCCCTCCCACATCACCCTTTCCTGAGGCTCCAAGGCCTGGAGTAACAAGGACACAGCTCTTCCCAGGCACCAGACATGCCCCCACAGGGATGGGCACCCCGGCACGCTCTCCCTGGCCAGCAAGGGCCCGTTCCTAGGGACGTGGGCAGACCCACCTCATGCTTCTCCCTCTGCCCAAAACACCCCAACAGGAGAAGGTTTTCCCCTGCTTGAAGGTTCCCATTCTCTCTTCCTCGAGTGACTACAGTGCAAATGGCACAGGGTGATGTGGTCCGGAGACACCCCACGCCAGAGATGGAGGATGCTCCTCGCTCCCAAGGCCACCCCCCGGCTGCTCCTGCTACCTCAGCCGCCCGTCGGGTTTGACAGGCCCCAGTTCCGATTTGGGGTCCGGGGAGAGGGAGCTCCAGGACGTTTTGCTGCAGGTCTCCAGGGAGGTGCAGGCGGAGGGGCTGCTGACACAGACATCTGCCACAGCCCAGAAGGTGCCAATGGCAGTGTCCGCCCAGTCCTCCAGTGCCTTGCCCGTCAGCTGCGCCTTCCGTGCCGCGTCCTCCTCCGCCGCCTCGGAGCGCGGCAGGTTCAGGATCCCCCCCAGGCCCTGGAAGTTCTGATCCATGTACTCATTGCGGGGGGGCCCACCATGCAGCCAGTTGCTGTCATCTGGGCAGGAGAGGGAGAGAAGAGAGAGGGGATCAGCAGCGCAGCAACATCCCTGCAGGTTCTACCTCTCACTCCAGTGGGGCACACCTCCTCATCCCTTTCCAATCCCAGCTCCCTTCCAGCCCAAGGACTGGGACGCTGATGCAGGAAGGATCTGACTGACCTGCCAATGGGCCTTCCACAGCTGCCCAAAGGCCCAGTTTAAGGATTCCAATGGGCAAGGGGACACCAGCAGAAATGGCTCCTGCCTTGTCACCAGTCGCAGCCCAGAGACCAGCACAGGGGGATGCACCTTGGACTGCCCACAGGGAAACCCTCCTGTCCAGCCCCGAGCATCCTCACCTTTCCTGAGAGGCTGCTTGCGGTTGAAGGTCTGGGGCACCACCAGGAACTGGTTCTCCCCCAAAGGCTCCCAGAACTGGAGGAGGCGGATGGTCCAGATGCCGGGACGCAGGGGGTGGTTGAGGGGGGGCTTGTACTGGGTGAACTCTGCCTCGGCATCCACCGTGATGTCGTAGGAGGCGGCAATGACATAGGTGGGGTCGATCCACACCACCGTGGCTGTCAGGTTGGGGCCCCGTGACCACTTCTGCATGGCCACTGGCTCGTCAAAAGGCCCCATCAAGCCTCCAAAATTGCGGAACAGTCTTTCCTTGGGGTCCCACTCCGTGCCCACCTGGAGGGACAGGAGGCACAAACAGTGGGATGCTGGGCAGAGAGAGTTTTTGTCAGCTGAGGTTTTGTGTTTCACCTCTCCGAACTAGGGAAGGCATAAACCTTGGAGCCCAAAGCAATGGACAACCCACCCGCCATGGCTCATGTGCCTGCACCCTGTCAGCACTAATCCAGCCCTGGGAGGCCTCCTGCAGCTGCAGGCGCTGGGCACCATGGCCTCAGCTCCCCCTGAAAGATCCTCTGTAGGCCTGTCCCCCACCAATCAGCTCCACATGCCACACAGAAACCGAACTCCCAGACAAAGGTTTGTTCTCAGACACAGTGGCAGCACTGTCCCTCTGTCCCCACAACATGGTGCAGATGGGGGAGAGGAGGAAGGGCTGCACAGAGTGGGAGAGCCAGGCAGGAAAGTGCTCCATTTACCTCAAGGTTTTGCAAGCGGTTTGCCTGCCCTCCATGACCTGACAGCTTCAGAGCTCCTTGGGGCATCATCCACACCTCCAGGGACTCTGCCTGCCCAGTTGCCAAATTCTGCACTTCCTGCATCACCAGGTAACCCTGGAAACGGTCGTCATAGAAATATAAGTGCACACTGGAGGGGAAGCCCCGGGGTTCAAATCTGGATAAAGAGACAGAGAGAGAGGTTGCACGTCTTAGCATTGGCATCCTCCCAGCACAAGGTGAAGGCTGCCACTTGGAGCCTGGAAAGAGTCCTACAGCAAACACCCCACCTGCAGAGCTTGTCAGCCTTCACTGCCGGCGTGGACACAGCTTTGTGGAGCCCCAGCCTGGAGAAGGTTGTGTAGAAGGTGAGGGTGACATCGCTGAGCCCGCTGAGCCCGTCCACGCGGTCGTAGACGTTCTCCCAGTACGCCTTGAGGGCCGGTGTGTTGGGGGGGTAGCTGCCATAGAGGTGTGTGTCCAAGATCTCCAGTACCTCCTGATTCACTGTTGACTCGAACTTGCGGGCAAAGAAGGTGGGTCTGGAGAGTTGCTGGAAGAGCACAGGCATTTCTAACAGTGTTGGCTTCACTCACTCTGCCCTCCCACCCCAGCAGGAAGAAACACTGGGACACATCCTGTCCCCTTTGAGGGCACAGGCTAAGGAGCAGCACAGCACAGCCAGCCTGTACGTGGGATCCCCTATGACAGGATCAGTGGGAGCACATCGAACGCTTACTGGTAATGCAGATGGGTTCCCATGTCTCCCACTGCCACCTCCTTTCTGTGCTCAGAAGCAGCCATGTGTCATCCAGCTCCTTTGCTGCAACCTCTATTCTGATGGGCCCCCACCCCGCAGAGCTGCTGCAGAGCCCTGCACCAGCCCTGGCCATGTGGCACAGCCTGCAGGATCAGGGCTCTGCTCTGGGCTCTGCAAGCCCAAGACTGCTGGAAAATCTTGCCAAGTGCTCTTTTCAGAGCTGGATCTACCTCCCCCAAGCCTCCCGTGTTCAGTCTACATCCCCATGCACTGAGAGCATGGGAGACAGTTTGTCACAAGGCATTTTGTCCTGCCAAAAGCGCCAGCACTCTGAAGGGGTTTTACTGAAAAGGTGTTTGCCCCAAGTGATTGGTCTGCAGGGAAAGAGCAGGAAAACAGGAGAGAAAGTCTGGGAAGAGGAACAGCACTGCAAGCAGAAGCCTGGCTGCATGGCAGGACAATCAGCACAACCCTGCTGCCCGAGTGTTTACAGACATGTCAACACTGAGCCCCACAGCAGCTGGGGAGCCAACCCTGCTCTGGTCCCTTGCAGGGCTGGGGTGCAGCTCGTGGGGGCATGCACAGCAGCTGGCACCGCAGTCCAGGGTGCCCGCGGGGCAGCTCGGAGAGGAGAGAGACAGGGAGCAAGGGAGAGAGCAGGAGGAGAAAGGAGGATGTTTTTCACCTGTAGCCGGAGGAAGTCCTGGGGTTTGAAGTCATTTGGGGAGCACCCGCACCAGTCGACTATGTGTTTATATTGGCACTTACAGCCCAGCTTCCGGTTCCAGTTGGTCACTCGGAGGTTGTTATCGACCAGCGTCTCGCAGGCATGGCTGTTCTCCAGGACCGTGTGGAAGAAGGACTGTGCACGGCAGAGAAGGGACAGGACACCCAGTGGGGATGGAGGATGGGTGGTTAATGGAGACCCCCACCCTTAGAGGAACAGGACAGACCTCGACTGCTCCTGAACAGCTTATCCCTGTTCCCAGCACAAGGCAACATGTAAGGGACCAGGCTGTGCGCCCACACCAGTCCTTATCTGGGCCAGAGGGGCGTCTGGACCTAAAGCAGGGCTGGACGTAAACATGACCCTTGGCCTGTCTGATCCTCTCTCATATCTGTCGTGTCTGGACAAGGGGAGGCACAAAGCAGAACCAGCAATGCCCTTTGCAGCTACCCAGGGATGAAGTGGGACAGAGATGTTAAGTACAGTGGTAAGCAAACCCAGCCTGTGCCCTGCAGGCAGCACCCACCTCGGCTGGCAGCAGCGTGTAGGTGTAGAACTGGCGCAGCTGGGACACGAGCTGGTCGTCGGTATAGACCACGTACTCCACGAAGCTGCGCGTCAGCGAGAACCAGTCGGAGCCCCCGTCCACCACAATGCCCTCGGGAATGTGGCGCTCGCCCAGCCGCCACATGTGGGAGTCACACTCGTGGAACAAGCGGTCCAGGCCCTGCTTCTTGATAAACCTGCCCACGTGGATGAGGATGAGGAGTTAGGATTGTCCACCACTTTGCTAAGTGCAGCTCCATGCAGAACATCCCCCCTTGCCCAGCTGTTTCTGAAATCCCTCCTTTATCTGTTCCTTCAGCTCAGCTCTGCCCTGAGCTGGGATTACCTGGCATTGTCTCGGCCATGAGACTTCAGGAAGTTCTTATCTCGGTATTTGGACAGGAACATCACCAGCTCCTCGTTGGTCCTGAGGTGCAAATTAGGAATCATTAATGCCTCTGGGGTGAAGCAGCCAAGTAAACACTCATAATGCAAGAGTCATTAGACACAAGGAGCCTAAAGCTGTTTGGTGGGTGCTGACTCAAAGCCTTGTCCTGTCACTGGGGAGACACAGACGCGGCCTCTCTGCTGTCTGGCGCCTCACACGTGTGTTCCCCTGCAACACCCAGACCACAGGAAAAAACAGCCTCCAAGGTACCGGCTGGGCTCCTCTGCAGAGATGGGACCAGCCTGGCCCTGGAGCATCATCACCAGCACGTGGGTGCAATCTCCAACCCCATCTTCCTCAGATCCCTGCTCCTCCCTGCCCCTCCCAAGGCTGCTGCCCGAACGCCGCCATCGTCCTCACCTCGTGGGGTAGTCGGTGGCACTCAGGTTGATGAAGAAGTCCCAGGGCCACTCGGACAGTTCCAGCAGGTCCTTCATGCTGCGCAGGTACATCTTCAGCAGGCTGGCACCTCCCCAGATGGTCACCATGCGCCAGGGTGTCACACGGATGTTGGCGTAGTGCCGGGCCAGCTCCACGGCCTCGCGATGGAGGTAGTTGGAGCGCTGCCAGGGAACAAGGCTCACCCTCAGCAGGGAGCTCATCCTCCTGGAGCCCTGCCCTCCTTGCCACTAGCCCAGGGTCAGCCCTCACAGGAGCCTCCATGTGGAGAGGAGCAATAAGACTGCTCTGGGGAGGGGAGATAGATCCTCCTTCTGTGGGGTTGCAGAAGCAGAGGCAGGAGGGTCACAGCTGCACAGCAGCGAGGACAAACCCTATCCAACCAGTTCCACCCAGCTCTGCTCCCTGTCCCAGTGACCGATGTAGCACCGTTAGCACCCCCTCCCCTCACCCCAGCACACACCTTGTCGACGTGGATGTAGAAAAAGTGCTGCTGGTGGTACACGGCCTTGATGAGCCGCTTCAGCTGGCGAATGGCCCTGCCATGCACGACCAGCATGTAGGCGATGCGCACGGGCTGGCTGGGGGGCACCTGCTGCAGCCGGCTCTCGTCCCACTGGATCACAGGGCTCACCTTGCCTGCGTGTGGAGGGAGAGGGCTGTCAGCCACCCCCAGCCTTGGCATCCACCACCCAGACCTCCAGAGCAAGGCAGGGGACAGCAGAGAAGCACAAGGTCTCAGACAAACCCCAAACTGGCTGCAGTGGCAGTGAAGGGTGGCACACCCCCCACCTTGTCTTACACTGACAGGGGTACTTTGAGGGAGGGGCTGTCCTTCTCTGCCCCCTCAAAACAGGAGATGCAGCTGGGCGGGGCTCTGACCCCTGCAGCACTGCGGGCTGGGATGAACAGCCCAGCTTAAAGGAGGCTGGCACAGCTTTGATTGGATTACAGAGGCAGCGGTAATCTGGGAATCAGTGACAGATTGAGGCCGCTTGCTGCCAGGTGGGTCAGTGTGGTGACATAAGGAAGGTGGCCCACGCGCCTGGGATATTCCCGATGCCCAGGGTGAGCAGGAGCACCTCAGCAGGACTCACCGGAGAGCTGGCAGTGGCGAGGCACGGACTGGGGCATGAGGCTGCCGGCCCGGTGCAGACACACCACGTTGGCGATCTCCTGTTGGCACTGCTTGGTGCTGGCGCGGGCCAGCGCCGACAGGGCGTCTTTGCCCGTGATTTCGCACTTGGGGGTGAAGCTGTTCTCGGTGGGCTGGGGAGCCCCCTCCACGCTGCCCGTGTCGCCCTGCTGGAAGACGGCCAGCTGGGCCTCCCCGCGCAGCTCCGTCAGGTTCCTGCGGCTGGAGGAGTCTGGCGCGGCCGGCAGCCTCCATCCCGGTCTGTGCCTGGCAGTGACGGCTCTCACCACCTTGGACACCAGTGCCCCGGGGCTGTCCGGCCGGCCCCGCCACCGCCCGTGCTTCCGGCCGGCGCTGCCCCGGCGCCCGGCAGAGCTGTCCGAGTCCTTGGAGCCATCGCTGCTCTCGGGAAACCCAGCTTTTTTCTGCCGCTCCTGTTGTGGTTCCATGTGGATGCGGAAGAGAGGACAGACAGCATTAACTCGGGCCTGCTTCCCCCCAGCTCTGCCAACGTGCTCCTCGGAGCATCCCTGTTCCCAGTCCCCACAGAGCTCAGCACTGCAGCATAGCAAGTGCTCCAGGAGCAACCACTGTGCAGCAAAGGACATGACACAGCCTCCTAAAACCCCAGGCTAAGACCCCACAGCACCCTCCTGCATGGTTCTATGCCCCAGTCACAGGGACAGGCCCCTATATGCCAGCAAGGGAGACTTCAATTTGCACACCCCATCATCACAGCACCTGACACACACAGAGGGTCTTGCTCTCTGTGGCTGGGCTTGCTGCAGACTAAACTGCCATGGTGGGTTGTGCCTGTGCCAGCCACCCTCCAGGGTCCTGCCCATGTAGAGGCATCCCTAACAGTGGAGACAAGCACCAGGCTGCACTGGCAGCCAGTGGTTATTTTACCAGGAGGCAAATGGACCAGCTCTTCCCTGCCATGACCATGCTGTGAGCCCAAGCCCAGCACAGCCAGAGTCTCAGGCAGTCACAGCTGTGCTCTCTGGGCTGAAAGCGCCAGAAAGGCATCAACCGAGGTCCTGCCCACACTCCCTTCCCTGGGCCCCAGCTCCCTGCACTGGGCTGGGGCAGGCACTGCCATCACCACTTCCCTAGAAATCCAGTTACAAACCCTCCCATGGAGCCAAGCGGATGTGTAATTAATTATGCTTCGTTACCTCTGCCAGGCTGGCTGGTGAGCCAGCCTTGGGGAGAGCAGGGAGTTGGGAAGTTTGGATGCCATGCTCGTGGGAAAGAACTTTCCCAGTAAGTGGTACCCGTGGGGCTGTGGCTGTGTGCTCCCACTGCAGGGGCTCCCAGATGACAGGCAGGCAGCTGCCTGCTCCAGCCAGGCCTCCCAGGGCTCTCTCACAGCACCCCCAAACCCTGACTGCCCCGTCACTGTGCCAGGCACCACAGGGGGCTGCGAGGCACACCCAGGGGTATTCCTGGGCAGCAGCATCTCACGAGGATGGGCAGATGCCTCACAAGGACAGCAGGAATAAACTAGCCCCCAGCACAAGGAACCCTATGGATGTAGCTCCTGGGAAGGTCACAGGCAGGAGAATGCACACAGTGGAAAGGCTGGAAAGCATCTGGCATGATCTGCCTGCTCCACAGTCCCTGAACTACCCTTATTGTGGTGGCACAGCCTGTAAACCATGGCCAAACCACTGCTTAAATCCTGAGGGGTTGGTTCAGCAGGGATGAGTCAAGTCCGTTTCCACCCAGACAGGCATCACGGGCGGCCCGAGACAGGCAGCAAACCCTTCATTGGTCACCACGCAGGACCATCAGTTCCACAGCTATAAACCTGTTTTCCCCACCAGGCACCACAGGAGCAGGCAGTCAGGAGGCTACAATCGAGGAGCGACTCTCTTCCGTGGGCTCAGCCCCGTTCCTACAGGAAGAGACTCACTGGTCCCGCTCGCACCCTCCACTCCCCAACACACCTGACTCCAGGGATTCCCCCCATTTGATGCCCACTCCTGGTTACAGTCCTGCTCATCCCCCTGGAAGGAGCCCTGTTCCCAGCTCACAAGCATGCCTGGCTGCCTTTCCCAGTAGGGAAGTCGTTAGAAGCATCGCCAGCTTTTCCGGAGCTGACAGCTAACAAACTCAAGGGTTTCTAATTACTGCACCACAGCAGAGTAATCCCTCCACCCCAGCCTGGCAGGGAACAGCTCTGGCCACATTGCTCTGCTGTATTTAAGACTCATGTGTTGGACATTTGGTGAGGCTCCCCATCCCCATCTCCTCCTCCTGACACACACAGATGACTCCAGGCACCAGCCAGAGGTCACTTAGAATCACAGAATCGTTTAGGTTGAAAAAGCCCTCTAAGATCATTCAACTGTTAAAGCACTGCCAAAGCCACCACTAAAACATGTCCCCCAGTGCCACATCTACACATCTTTTAGATACCTCCAGAGACTGTGACTCCACCACTTCCTCACCCAGCCTGCTCCAGGGCTTGACAACCTTTTTGTTGAAGAAATTTTTCCTAACATCCAACCTAAACCTCCCCTGGCACAACTTGAGGCTGTTTCCTCTTGTCCTGTTTGCTTGTTACTTGAGAGACTTACCCTGTCCTGCCTTCCCCAGTGTGACAGTGCCACCCCACAGTGCCACAGAGCTGTGGGTCAGGCATCTACCTGCACCCAATCCCCAGCACAGATCCAAGCTCTGCCATTGTGAGGAGCAGAGTTAACAGCACCTGGTGTCCTGCAGGATTCCCCCTCTGGTTGTCTGACTCCAGTGTCTGCCACATATGAGCACTCATCAGACAAAATCAGCACCAAAACTTTCCAAAGTCACCAGAGGAATCCAGAACTAAAATGGCTGGAGTCAGCCCCCTAAAAACAAAAAAAAAAAATCAAGGAATCTCTTCTCTAGAAGAAAAGACATTTCATAGGAAGCTTCTCTGGCAGCCACAGCACACAGTGGACACCAACACACAGGCCCCAGAGAGATGCCACCTCCTGCCTGGAAGGATGATGGAGACGAGGGGGGGAAGAGATGTGACAGGGCTAAAACACTTCACCCCAGTGACAGAGCCTCTTCTCCACCCACAAGGACACTTGGTGGTTTGGGTTCTCCTGCTGCCAGCTCCACTGTGGACTAAGTGCTCCAGGAAGTTCATGCACTCGCTCAGGAGCTGTTGATGTCACCACGACAGAGGAAGGATCACCCTGGTCCCTCGAGCACCCACCTCTGTGGGGACAGGCTCATGCTGCCCACAGCAGGAATGGGAATATCCTCACCCATCAGTCAGTCTGGACAGTGATTGTGGCATTTGATCCCAGTGCAACAAGATAATTTGGTTTCCTGGAGGTAGGAAACTCAGTGTTGACCTGGGTGGATGGAGACAGATCCAGCTACTCCTGGTCTGCACACCATAAAGCATCTGCTTGGTGAACACAGGGAGCCTGCAGGACCCCACAATCAGGCTTGGGAAGAGAAGGGATAGATCCAAGCAGCACAGCCGGCTCCACAGTGCTTCCAGGACTCAAGTCTCCCTTTCTTTCTCCACAGCCAGTCACAGCCCATTCTTGGTGGGGATGAGCTGTGTCCATTAGTGGGAAGGAGCCATTTACTCTGGCAATTAAGAGATCCCAAACTTCCCCAAATCCTTCTAGGCCCACAAGGTCAGGCTCTCCTGGGAGTGTTCCTCTGGCTTTACCAGAAATGCCCTTAGGGGAATGATGACTCCTCCAGGTCTGGCCAAAATCAGAAGCTGCAGGAAGGCACAGAAACCTGCCATTTTACAAGAAATAAAGGTTAATTGGACTTTTCCCAGCTTGCTAATGGGTTTGGGCTGTTTGTAAAATTCAGCATCATTCTTGCCTTCTCCAAAGAGGCTCGTCAATTCCCAAGCCCTGGAGTCAGGGCTGCTGGTGGTGAACCATCCCATTTCCAGGCATGGGGACCCACGGCCAAACCTGTCAGCTGCCCAGCTCAGTTTTGGGACGAGACATGGGGAATTCAGGCAAGGACCAAGGCAGAACAAGCCAACCCAGGAGGCTGCACGAAGCAGGAGCAGAGAAAAGCAGTACAGGATGGTGCAAAGGAAAAGGGAAGACAGGACAGGTGAAGTAATTTGATCAAGGTCACAGAAAAGGGAAAGGAGCATTTGGGCACTCCTTGGTGCCAGATCAGTCTGCTCTCATGCTTGCAGTGCCTCTAGATCATGGGCAACTCCATGTCCTCTCTGTTGCCACATTTATTCCCCGGTTCTGTGTCAGTGATGGGTGTGTGGCAGCACACGAAGGTGCTCATGGCCATTCCCCATGGCCCAAGACTTCCTGGGGCTGGGAATTAACCTGCTGAGTGAGTGGTGTCACCTTAGAGACTTTCCCTATTGCAAGGAGCTTCCCAGTTCACCTTCTCACCTCTTTGCTCTTAAGGAAAACTTTCTAGACCTGCTGACCATGGGATCACCCTCCACACCAGGAGGCTTCAGCCACTAGTCCATCCAGACACACTGGACCTGGACACAGTCTGGGCAGTACTCAATAAATAAATAAATCCAAATAAGCAACCCAGAGACCAGGAGCTTTGTTTGAAGGTGACAGCAACATCCTTCAGCAGCCTGGGTCCTCCTTGATACCTGCTCTGTGCCTGACCTTGGGCAAACTCCTTCAGCAGCCTGTGCCTCGGTTTCCCCACAGTCACAAGAAAGGAGTGACGCATTTCGCCCCAGCAGAGTGTTCTGGTACAAAGACAACAGGGACTCCAAAAGGTCCTTGTTCCCTCGCACTTCACAGGGATACCCCTGACCGGGTCAGGTACACAGGAGCTGACACAAACTTCCCGAGCTGCTGTGTGTGCTATCCCAGCTCTCTGAATTCTGTGTTTTATGGTTTGGGTGCTGCCGACCTCCTCACAGCATCCTCCACATCACAGAGAAGTGCAAGACCCCCATAAAGCCCCCCACACTCCCTGCCCCATGCCAGACCCCAACCCCTCTGGGCTACAAGCTACAAGCTCCCTTTCTCAGGTGCTGTGACCCTGCACTGCTGCAGCTGGAGACCCCTCACATCCCACTGCCCACCCCAGTGCCCCTGTCCCCATCGGCCTGGGGCTGTGGGCCCCCTCCCCAAGCCAGCGACCCCATCCTGGGTCTGGGCCTCACCAACCCCACAGAGACACCCTGGGCGTGGGGGGGAAGCACCCCCTCTGTGCCCCCCTCCCAGCTCCAGAGCAAGAGGTCACTCCGGTCCCCCCAGGGCACTGTCCCCCAAGGGTCTCCCCACAAAAAACACCCCCTTCCAGCACGCACCGCCCCCCCATGACTCCCCAGGCCCTCAGCCCACCTCAATCCCCTCAGGCCTCCCCTGTCCCCTCAGTCCCCTCACAGCCCCTCCATCCCCTTCGTCGCCCCCCCCGACCCCTCACCGACCCCCCGGCAGGCCCCGGGCGGCCCCCCCCCGCTCCCTCCCGCGGCGCACCTCGGCCGGCCCCTCCTCGTCGAGGCCGGCGGAGCTCCAGAGGACGAGCCCCTGGAGCAGGAGGATGGCGAGGGCCGTGGCGGCCGCCAGCCGGTACCGCCGCACCAGCTTCCTCGCCCGCCCGCCGGCCACCATCGCCCCGCCGGCCACCATCGCCCGCCGCGCCGACAGCGCCGCTGCGCGTGCGCGGGCAGGGCCGGGGCGGGGCTTGCGGAGGGGGCGGGGCCGGGGGCGGGGCCGAGTAATGGGGCGGGGCCGGGGTGAGAGTGGGAGGTTGTGAATGTGTGTAAATGTGTGTATGTGAGAGTGTAAATGTGTGTATGTGAGAGTGTAAATGTGTGTATATGAGTGTGTAAATGTGCGTGCGAGCGCGTGACTGTGTAAATGTGTGTGCGTGATAGTGAGTGTGTGTGTATGTTTGTACGTACGTGTATGTGCACCTTGGGACACGTGTGTGAGAGAGTGTGCACTAGAGTGTGATGTGTATGAGTATGTCTGTGAGAGTGTGAGTGTATGAGTGTATGTGCACCTTGGGATGTGTGTGTGTGTGTGTGAGTGAGAGTGACTGTGCACCGGGCTCTGTGTGTGTGTGTTTGCACTGGGAGATGTGTGTGACTCAGTGTGAGTGTATGGGAGTGAATGTGTGTGTGTGTGTGTGTACACTGACGTGCGATGTGTGTGAGTGTGAGTGCACCTTGGTGTGTGTGTGTGTGTGTGAATTTGAGTGTGCACTGACCTCTGTGTGTATGTCTGTGCACTGGAGTCTCTGTGTGTGTGTGTGTGTGTGTGTGCACCGGGGGGGGGTGTGTGTGGCTGTGTGAGTGTGCACCTTGGGATGTGTGTGTGAGCGTGCACTGAGGTGTGAGTGTGTGTGCAGCAGGGAATGTGTGAATGTGTATGAGTGTGCACCGGGCTGTGTATGCACATCTGTGTGCTTGTATGTGTCTGTGTCCAAGTGTGTGTGCATGGGGGCATGTGTGCCACATGTGTGAGTGTGCACCAGCCTGTGTGTGTGAATGTGTGTGTGTGTGCATGGGGCGTGCGCGTGTGGGCACAGGTCCATGAGTGTGCAGTGGGGTGTGAATGGGTGTGCATGTGCAGCGGGATGTGTGTGAGCACTGGGATGTGTGTTTGTGTGCAATTGAATGTGTGTGTGTGCAGTGGGATGTGTGTGTGCACTGGTATATGTGTGTGATGTGTGTGCACACTGGGGTGCACATGTGTTTGTGTGTGCTGGGGTGTGTGTGGCCACACGTGCACTGGCAGTGTGTGCCTGTGACCACTGGTGCCAACCTCCCTGTCATGGGCAGGGACACCTTCCACTAGCCCAGGTTGCTCCAAGCCCCATCCAACCTGACCTTGGACCCTTCCAGGGATGGAGCAGCCACAGCTTCTGTGGGCAACCTGTGCCAGGGCCTCACCACCTTCACAGGAAAGAATTTCTTCCCAATATTTAACCTAACCCTTCCCTCTGTCAGTTTGAAGCCATTCTCCCTTGTCCTGTCACTCCATCCATTGTCCAAAGTCCCCTTCCAGGTCTCTTGGAGCCCCTTTAGGGGCTCTAAACCCTCCCTGGAGCCTTCTCTTCTCCAGGTGGAACACCCCCAACTCTCTCAGCCTTTGTCCTGTAAAAGCTGCTGTGGGGGGAAGTATTTCAGCAGGGGAAATAGGAAGCAGTGTCTGGATGGTGATAGCAGCTCTGGGGAGTTCCATGACCCTCTGTGAGCTGCCCAGGCAGATTATGCCAATACAGCAGAGGGAACACTGCAGCCTCAATGGCTCTGAGGGTTTGAGAGGAAGAGGTTCTGATAAGAGGGGCTCCCTGGGGTGCAGAAGGGCTCTGTGCAGCCTGCTGAGCTCTGGGAGGGCTTCCCCTTGTACAGGAGCAATTTGGTCCATGCTCTTAAGAGCTGAGAGCTGCAGGACTGCCTCAACATCTCCACAACTGCCTCAACACCTCCACAACTGCCTCAACATCTCCACATCAGCAGGAAAAGTCTCCCCACATAGAATCCTTTAGTTTGGAAAAGTCCTCTAGGATCATCAAGTCCATCCATTAACCCAGCACTGCCAAGACCACCACTAAACCATGTCCCCAAGAGTTACACCTACATGTCTTTTAGATACCTCCAGGGATGGTGACTCCCTCATTTCCTGGGCAGCCTGTTCCAATGCTTGACAGCCCTTTTGGTGAAAAAATTTTCCCTAATATCCAAGCTAAACCTCCACAGGCACAACTTGAGGCAGTTTCTTCTCCTGTTGCTTGTTACTTGGGAGAAGAGACCAATCCCTACCTGGCTACAACCTCCTTTCAGGTAGTTGTAGAGGACGAGTAGCTCCTGCCTCATCCTTGTCCTGGTTGCAGAATAAATCAGCATCCCTGCCCTGAAACCAGCCTAGTTGCACAGAGTTACAGCACCCAAATTCCCATGGTAAGGGAAAAATCATCTCTCCATGCAAAACCACTTGCATGGGACAGTGTGCGTGGAAGAGCTCAGGTATTCTGCTCCCGACCCATCACAAATAGGTGCCCAAATCCATTTTTTGTGGGAATGGGTTGTCCTAATGGATGAATTGCCTGGTGCTGAGCAGGAGTTCATGCATTGAGAAGGGCACTGGCATGCAGGGGCAAGACCCTGTGGGATGTCCCAGAGAGGAGCAATGCTGCAGCATGAGTGGGAGCTGCAGGTTTGTGCTGAAGCCCCAAGAGTCCTCACCTCAAAGATCTGAGTTGTCACATTGCTGGAGCCCAGCTGAGCACCAGCCAGGGGCTGGACCTGCTTTCAGGGTGACACTCTGCAATAAACTCTTTAGGAGGTGGAAACCTGGTGTACAAACACAGCCCCACACCGTGGTTGACACCATCAGATTCTCGCTTGCTGACACTGATAAAGCAGCAGCATTTCACACAGAATAAGGTATTTAGTGGGTGCCAGAAAAAAAAAGCTATCAGCAAAGCAGAGATGAGCAGGGTGATAGTTACAGCCCCTGTGTGTGCTCCCAGGTCAGGGGTCCTTGGGGGTGGTGGGAGACAGCAGGAAGAAACCTCCCTGGGGGCTGTGGAGAAGTGTGGGGTTCGGGGAGAGGCCATTTCTTCACCAAGACCTTAATGCCCCACATCCTTCACCCATGCACCCTGTGCAAATGTCCTGCCTCCCAGGAGCTGCCAACTGACATCAGCATGAAAAAAGTCACTCTGAGGAGATCTGCGGGTTTGGAAGCTTCAGCCCCCAAGAACAATGCAGAAGGGCAAGTGGGACAGGTGGTGGGTGCAGGGAGCCAGCCCACCCACAACCCTCAGCCTTGCTTCCCCTTCCCAGCTCCCCCACACCCTGCCTGGCCTGGACTGCCTCACTTCAAGGGGGAAAGTTTTATTCCCAGCACCACTGCTGTATGGATGAGGACTCCAAATCCAAAGGGATGATTTTATCCTCATCCCGCTCCGTGTCTCCTCTCAACTTCATCCTCTCCAGTGTTGCTCCAAGGAAACATCCGAGCCTCGGAAGGCAGCAGCTCCACTGGTCCAGCCAGCTCCTGCCTGAGTGGAATGCCAATGCAATCCCCTCAATGAAGGTCCCAGTGGCACCCCTGGCAGCAGGAGCAGCCCGTGGGGCCGGGTGCTGGCTCACACCCCCCCAGCTCTGCTGTCGGGCTCCTCGCTGGGCCGTGTAGCTGGTGGCACGTTGCTGTAGATCTGCTCCTGCTGCGGCACACGCTTCTGCACCCTGGCATATATCGCCTCTGATTTCTCTTCCACAGGCTGGGAAAGGAGGGGGATAAACAAAAAACATCCTTTGTGGGGCTGCTCCAGGGAAACACTGTCTGCTGGAACCTCTCTCGGCTGCTTTAAGCACCCAGGAGCAGCCATGGGGACTGGAGAGGGAACCCACATTATCCAGGGTCACTTGCACCCCAGTTTGGTGAGCCCCTTTGCAGCCCCCTCCCTCCCCACCCATCCCATCCCATCCCACTGCCCATGCCATCACCCACCCGCCCCAGCTTTCCCTCCACCACCTCCAGCCCGGCACTGCTTGGCATTCTCCTACCTTAGCACTGTGCCTGACTTCCAGGTACTCGACTGTGGAGTTCTCCAGGCTGCGGAAAGCCTCAGCGTTGCTGTACAGCTGGCTCTCGGCTGTGCCCATGTGGTGGTTAATGTCTGCATAATTCAAGGCATCTGCTCCCTGATGGAGAGGGATGAGCTCTTAACCTGCTGCCGCCTGCATCCACAGGGGTGGGAGCACCTCCCACCCTGCTGCCTGTCCTGATGGGTGCTGAGACTGATGGCTGCAGGAGCACTGGGTGGAAATAAAACCTGAAGCAAGAGCTGGTTCAACATTCCCCAGGGGAATTCTAGTTAGTGACACCAGCCTCTCCTCAAAATCTGGCAGATAAAATCAGAAAACGCTCTCCAAGCAGTGAGCAAAGAGCAGCTGCTCCACTGCTGCCTCAGGTGTGCTTTGCTGCAGGTTCCCAAGTCTGTTTCACTCAGAGGAGCAGCTCCCACGCTTGGAGGGGCCTGGGGGCAAACCTTATAGCCCAATCCTAAATTCCCTTTCTGGGAATACTCTGTGATAGTCACACAAAAGCCCTGCTTGTGTCTTTCTGTTGGTGAGCAGTGCCCCAAGGATCCCTCCCAGCCTAAAGCACCATGAGCCAGGCTGACAGAAGAGGCTCTGGCAGCTCAGGGTGTAACGCTTCCCCTCTCCATGAGAACTTGGGGCAAGACCTCATGAGGTTTTCCTTACTGTATGCGAAACACTGCGAGTCCTGTCCATCTCTATGGCTGCTCTGGAGAGGGCTGGATGGAGCACGGATGTGGTCAGACATGAGTGAAAACAGAGGAAAGGAAATTAATTAAGAAACTGTGCTGCCACTGCAAATCTCACCGTAAAGCAGGAAAGGAACCTGTTACCCTGTGAGCCATCCAAACTGGAGCAGTTCTTCAAATAAAGCCAGACCCCACCTGCCAGCTGGCAACGTCCTCTCCTGTGTCCCCCACATCCTTCACTCTGGCCTTAAACTTTGTGTCAAGCTTAGTGCAAGCCTGGCCCACACAAGTGAGCCCATCTGGGGAAGCTGATGGTGCCCAGACAAACACAAGTAGGTGCTGTGCCAAGCAGCACCTACCCCAAGGGCTGCCATTCCCTGCTCCCATGGGGATGAGACCTGTGGGATGGCCCCACTGTTCCCTCAGGGGAAGGAGTCCTACTTAGCGGAGGTCTCAGTGATGGACCAAGGAATTGGATGGATCAGGGAGGGAATGGGGGAGAAAAAAAAAATATAGAGGAAAAATAAATAAAGCAGAGGCAGGTTCTGGTGCAGAAATAGGGTGTGTGTGGCAGTGGCAGCTTCTCTCACCCTTTTTCCTCTTCCTGGACAGTATTACCAGAACAGCAGCAGCCACAGCAAGCAAAAGAAGAACTACTATGATGCCTGGAGTGAGGATGTGTTCAACCACGTTCAATCTGCAAGAAACAAAGAGTTTCTGTTCCCACACTTCTCAGGAGGAACCAGCACGGAGCAGGGTTGCAGGAAGTGGCTGTGGGTGACAGGGCTTTCCCTGGGAGGAAGGACAGCAGGTGTGGGGTGGTCAGGCTGCCCGCTGGGCACGGAGCAAAGCAAACCAAAAACTGCAGAAGCAAACTGACACCGAGGTCTGACAACTGCTGAGTCTTCACTGGTTTAGGGATGGGTTCCTGGATCTAATGTTGCTCTGGTTTAGCTCCACTATTTGTTGACCTTGTTTGTAATGGGCAAGCAGGCAAAGTTGGCGTGCCAGCTACCCCTGGAGCGTGGTAATGGGGAGCCTCAGCTTTGCCTGCTGAGGCATCACCTCCCAGAGGCAGGAGAGAAGGAGGGAAGCTCTACAACTCCTGTTTAATGCTTTGTCCACTATCTCTGCTGGGCTGTGTGTGACTACAAAGCAGAACAGGACACTGGCCTGCATTTGGTTTCCCAATAGCAAACACTGCCTCTGAGTTTTGGGGAAGGAAATGGGGTCAGTGCTGCAGGCAGAAACCACTTCTCCTGTGGCAACAGCTCATGGCTTGCTTAAGCTGCAAGATGGATGGGAGAGAAGCAGGGGGGCCGTGTGACCAGAGACACTGGAATTATTGTCATAGAATCATAGAATGCTTTGGGTTGGAAGGGACATGTAAGATACCTAGTTCCAATCCCCTGTCATGGACAGGGACACCTTCCACCAGACCAGGTTGCTCTGAGCCCCATCCAGCCTGGCCTGGAACACTTCCAGGGATGGAGCATTCACAACTTCTCTGGACAATCTGTGCAAGAGTCTCACCACCCTCATAGGGAAGAATTTTTCCAGGTGGAGTGGTCTCTAAAGGTAAAAGCAGGATGTCTGGATCCTTAAGGGAGATGTGAAGAGTCTGAGGGTTGCAGGGCTCCAGCTGCACCAAACAAATCTCGTTGAGGGAAGTGGCTGCTGTAGGCAGGAGCTGCTACTCACCTTTGGTTGCTGGACGGATTTGATGTCACGTGCACAGTTCCCCCTTGGGAAGTTGTCTGTGTGGGGCCTGTTACAGAGCTAGTGAGATCAGTGTGCTTGTTTGTGGTGGAGGTTGATGGTGGGGTGGCTGTAATGAAAAGAGGAGAGGCTTGTTTGATCTGTCTCCATGGAGGAAAATGCTGTGGGTCTTTCAGTGAGTCAGAAGTGACCCACTTACTGTCACACAGGGAGTAGCTGAAGGACACCCCTCAAAGTGGGAAGGCTGTAAGACTCTACCACTGCCCAGGAGGCTTTTCACAGTCCTGGTCTCCCTCAAAACATGCACAAAACAGAGTTCACCCTGCAGGAAGGGGGTCTGGGTACCTCATGACTCGTTCACTAACACAATAAACCCATATATGTGTCCTGCCATGGGGGCTGATCCCTGGCAAGGCAATGGAGAGGGATGTTCCCAAAGCCCAGGGCCTGGTGCCCAGAGGCTCTGCTTGTCCCAAGTGGGAAACAGAGCAGCACAGGGGGGTGAGGAATTCCCCAGTGTGATGCAATAAGGCAAGGACAGCACAGACAGGGACAGCAAGATCTGATGAGAGGGAAAATGAGACACAGAGAGCAGGGTGGTGCATCCCACCAATGGAGGTGGCTGATCCTGGAGCACTGAGAAGGGGCTGTGGGGAGATCTGGGCATGGGGAGTGGGTGATGGTGGTACCTGCTGCACTGTGATGACATTGGGCACCTACCACCTGCAGGCTGCCCCTACTGCAGCCCTTGCTCCCAGTACTTGGAGGGGGACACAGCAGGGCTGGACCTGGGGAACCAACAAGTACTGACCCGAGAACACGATCACCCTCACAGCAGCATACTCATCACGCTGCAATATTCCCATTCGCACTCCACAGCAGTAGATTCCCGCGTCCTCCTCGGTCAGATCCTCCACAGTCACTGTGAACACCCGGCGTGTGCGGTTATCCCGGATGGAGAATCGGCCCTTCTGCACCACGGGCTGTGACTCCGAAGTGATGACGATGTCCTCAGCACAGGTATAAACTGCTCCCGGTTTGCACCAGAACTTCGGGTTCGTCTCCTGGCCGCGCCGGTACTTGCAGGTGACCGAGAGGGACTTCCCCACGAATCCCCACACGGTTCTGTCCCAACCCATCGCCCCACATGCTGTGGAGACAAACGGAACCGCGGGAGTGCTGCCACCGCACTGACACCTCCCGCCCGTCGCGGCCGCCCCCACGGGCCACTCCGGGAGTCGGGCCCTCCGGCGAGACCTTACCTGGCAGCAGAGCCCAGGCGAGCAGAGGCAGGAGTTGCATGGCTGCTGCGGGACGGCGGAGCTTGGCACCCTGGTTCCTCGGTAGGGAGCCCCGCCCGCCCAGGGGGCCGCCCTGTCGGGGCGGAGCGCGGGGACCCCCGGGGCTGCCTGACCGTCGGGGCGGCTGGAGAGACAAGTCGGGGGCGCGGGGCGGTGGCGGGGAAGCTTTGTTGGAGTCGGCGGCGGCAGAAAGGGCGCGGCGAGGCCCCGGTGCTGCCCTCCCTGCCCACGCCGTCGGGGCCGGGGCGGCCCGGGGCCGGGAGGCATCGGCTGCGGCCATGGGGTCCCGGCGGGGGCTCAGCCCCGCAGGCTGACCCAGAGCACGGCCGCGCTCATGGCCAGCAGCGCCAGCAGCTGCAGCCCGGCCAGCACTGGGAAGTAGCGGAAGGAGCCACGGGTTCCCTGCGGAGCATCCGGCTGGAGCATCGGGGTTGCAGGTGTGAAGGAGTGATGGATGCAGCGGGTGCCAGGAGGGCACTTTGTCCCTCTCCATCCCCCCTCGCTCAGGGTGACACCTCCTCCCGTAGTCTGTCCCCGGCCCCCCAGCGCTGTGGTCACTGTTGCTGGGGTGGAATTGTGCAGGGACTGACCTGGCAACACGATCACCTCCACTACAAGATCAAGCTGGAACCTTCCCGTTTCCACCCCACAGAGGTAGATTCCCGCGTCCTCCTCGGTCAGATCCTCCACAGTCACTGTGAACACCAGGTGTGTGCGGTTATCCCGGATGGAGAATCGGCCCTTCTGCACCACGGGCTGTGATTCTGAGGTGATGACGATGTCCTCAGCACAGGTATAAAGTGTTCCCAGTATGCACCAGAACTTCGGGTTCGTCTCCTGGCCGGGCTGGTACTTGTGGGTGACCGAGAGGGACTCCCCCACAAGTCCCCGCACGGTTCTGCGCCAGCCCACCGCCCCATAGGCTGTGGAGACAAACGGAGCCGTGGGAGTGCTGCCAGCACACTGACACCTCCCACCCCATCAGATGATCCAGTGTGAGTCTCTGGCCCCAGGGATCCCTCAACCCTACCTGGCAACAGCAGCCAGACAAGCAACAGCAGGAGCCTCATGGACAGGGTAGCCTGGGCCACAGTTGGGGCAGCCCTACTGCTCCTTCTATGCTGTCTCTCTATGGCTTTGCTTCCTCTTCTGCCTGGGATACCAACTCAGTTACTGCTGGGCGTTCATCAAGAGTGTGGGGTTTCCCATTTCCTGTCAGCTGCCTTCCTGCCTTGCCTGGTCACTGAGAGCACTTGCTGTGCCCCCATGGCAGGACACAGTTCTACCTCTTACCGCCACACTACCCAGCCTCTCTCGCCAGGTACAGCACCTGGTGGGGGACCTGCCTCTCAAGGGGTGGCTCAGCACTGCACAGGGACACCCTGAGCCCCACACGAGTCCCCAGGCTGGGGCAGTGCTCCTGCATGGCCACTCTGTCCTTCCCGTGGGAATGCAAATGGGGATCCCCTGCCTCCTGCCCCAGTACAGCTGGAGATGGGCGCTTGTCCCCACTGCCCTTGCCAGCACATCCCCCCAGACTGTTCCCAGCACAGCCCCTCTGTGGCTCAGGACTCCTCTGCCCTGATTAGGTCCTCTCAGGCCTCCCCTTGTGTCCCCATCTCCTGTAGGTGCTGTAGTGGTGGGGACAGTTGTGGAAGGACACTCGTCCCCGGCTCTTGCTCAGCTGGAGATGGGCATTTGGTGGCATCAGACAGAGTTGGCAGGGCTGAGGCTCCTGGGGCTGAGGGCTCCTCTCCCTGTGCCAGGGCTTAGCTGGGTGATGGTGGATCAGGTGCCCACACTGGCCCTGTGATCCTGTGTCTCCCCCAGCCACAACTCAGCGTGTCCCCACACAGTGTGTGCATCAGCACTGACAGCCACGGACACCCCAGGCTGTGCTGGCAGCTGAAGGAGGGAGCATGTGGACAGACAGACAGGCAGACAGGCACCTGCAGGATACCAAGGCTTTAATTGCAAAATTGTCTTGGTTTGGCAGCTCCAGCTCAGCAGACACAGGCTCTCGGCACCCCACACCCCCCTCTCTCCAGCGCTGGGGCTGCCAGGAGGGGCCAGGGCTTCCCAGGGGGGTAGAATCACCGGGAGCCAAGCACCTCCTGGCACAGGGCAGCCGTGATGGACATCACGGCCCCAGCAGGGTGGGGGGAGAGGGGGTAGGAGGGCATCCCTGGGGCTCCAAGGTGGCTGGGAGAGGAGGTGGGCAGTCTAGTGTCCTGGTGCTGCTGGAGGCTTCAAAGAGCTGTTGGTTTTCCTAGTTGTGGCTCCTACACCGGCTCCTCATCCAGGCTGCCCCACACACAAGGGCCAGGGCTATGAGAAATTTCAAGCTGAGGAGGAGCAGCAGGTGAGTGACACTGAGCTGAGACCTGTATGGAGAAAGGAGATTATGCTAGAGCCTGTGTAGGGTCTGTGCAATGAGGATGAGGACTGGGGCACTGGCATGTCAGCCAGCTGCCCTGCTTGCCTCTAGGATGCTCCTTGGGGCCATTGCAATGGAGGGACACAGCTGAGACATGCATGCAGGGAAAAATATGGTTTTGGCCAGGGGATGCTGTTGGGGGCGTGCCCAGATCCCAAGCTCTTACTCACAGCACTGGAGGCTCCCCACAGCCACTGGAGCCCAGAGCGCTGCTGGTCAGCAGGCCCACGTTGCTGCCCTCGGTTGTGGTTGAAGCAGCTGCGAAGGAAACAGTCAGAGCAAAGTGGAGACCCACCCCACACACCTCCTGTCCTGCCCCCTGCACAGGGGTCTCTGCCCTGACACTTTGGCCACAGAGGTGCAGGAGGTGGAGATGGGGGTATCCAGCAATGCTATGGGCACTGTGGGGGAGGAAAAAGAAGGTTACTGCCAGCTTTGCATCCAGCCCCATTTTACCTGCAGAGACCATCACCCTGGTGGTGTGGGATGTGCTGAACCACAGTTTCCTCTTCACCCCGCAGGAGTACCGGCCTGCATCCCCCGGCGTGACACCACTCAGTGTCACCGTGAACGAGTGTGCTGTGTGGTTGTCCCTGATGGACACCCTGCCCTGTGTCACCGTCACCTCCGAGCCACTGGTTTGGATGATGTCGGTGAAGCAAAACCGGAGGGAGCTCTGGCGGCACCAGTACTTGGAATTGAGCTCATAGCCTGGCTTATAGCTGCAGGACACTGCCAGCAAGCTGCCTTGGTCAGCTGTCACCTGCTTGGGGCCTTTCACTGCCCAGACACCTGTAGGGGAACACAAAGAGGTGCTACAAACACGTCCTGGCATTGCCTTGGGGAACCAAGAACGATCTGAGCCCAGGATTCTTGGGGGCACCCAGTCCCGAGGGAGGCTGTGTCTGTGCACCCGCTGTGCCAGGGAACAGTGCTGAGAGGAGATGTCCCCAGTCAGGAAAAAAAGAGCCCCCATCAAGGGTGTGTGTTATTAAAAGAGCAAAAAGCCTTATTCCCAGGGTTCACATGGCAGCAGTAGAAGCACATCTCAGAGATCACCCCCCGTAACTGCCACAAGAAAAGATCAGGATCAGCTGGGCTCTTGCAATGACCATGGTGGGCTTCCTGGTCTGGCTTGGCCCCAACCTCTCCACAGCTCTGCCAGAACCCCTGAGATGGAATGGCCTGACCTTTGTTCCTGGCTCTCACCTGGGAAAAGGATCCAAACCAAGAAAATCCTCATTTTCCAGCTTCTTGCTCCCAGAGTCGATTTTTCCCTGTGGTTAGTCACGAAGAACCTTGCAGGATGGAGCCAGGTCCACATTCACTTGGGTGTCCCAGGAGTTTTCCAAGCCTTATTCTCCTGTCCCTTCTTTGGGCAGTGCTTACCCACAGATGACCCTGGATGTCTGTTTTTAAGTTAGTTGCTTCCTCCCCTTCACCCGGGCCCATGACTCACTCTGGGGTGTTTCATGAGAGAGACTCTGCTTTTCCTCTGAAATAGTCACTGGGTTCCCAGTAAAATGCCAAAATGCAGCAGGTTCCTCTGCTGCAATGCCCATCCCAGTGGGGAGCACAACCTCTTCCCCTACGCAGAGCCCAAAGGACTTCGGGGAGTTTTGCAGGGGGGGCCAGGCCAGAACAGGGAGGTAGGGACTGGGATAGAGTGAAGGCACATCTGCCCCTGTGGATGGACTGGCTGGAACTGACAGAATGCTCTCCCGGTTGTGATGGACTGGGATGACAGACTGGGATGATGGACAACCATCCCCCTGCACTGCTACTCCCCAGCTCCTGAGCCAGTGTGAGCTGGGCTGCTTTTGTTTGTTTTCTCAAGCAGAAATGTCTCATTTCCTCCCCAAACCACCTTCTTCGGCACAGCCTGGGGGATTGGAGTGACAACAGTGTTTTAAATGCTTCCACTAAAAGTTTCAGAAACCCAAACACAAAAACAAGGCCTCTTCCCTGGCAGCAGCCTTGCTGATGGCTTTCTTCTGATATGTCCCTTGGAAAGAGTAGAAAGCACAAACCTACAGCATCCCCTTCCTTCTCTGTCCCTCATCATGGCAAGAGGAAGCTCTGAGTTTTCCTTTTGAGCATGAAATAACTCCTTCATTTCCATCTAATTGGCTGTGAGCCAAGATGCTGCAAGTAACAGCAAGATCTAAATTCAAAAAAGTGGCTGGAGATGGCAAACCTGCTTTCTGCTGAGAAACTTCTCACAAAGGCTGTGCAGCTGGGGCTCCAGCCACTTGGTCTTCCTTGGGCATGCATCCCTGCCACTGCTTGGCAAAGCACAGTGAGTCCTTCCTACCCTTCCCTCAGAGCAGGAGGAGGATTGGGAGAAGCGGCTCAGAGGTAGAGGCTCCAGATGGAATGTGCACAGGGAAGGTGCCTGCAAAGGCCTTTACTGCATGAGGATTTTGAGGGCAGCTCAGTTACCCGAAAGCAGCCGGAAACACTTTTTCAAAGAGCCACTTTGGTAGAGTTCCTGGGAAAGTTTTCAAGTCACATCCATGCTGCGTCATCTCCATCTCATCACCACCACTTCGCCATCAGATGTGAGGTGTCATTTCCCCTTCCCTTTCTCTGTTCCATGTTTGGTTCTGGGCAGGATGAGCAGCTGCCCAGCCCAGTGCAGGGGCTGGACCCTCAGCACAGACTGGGGCCAATTCCTCCCCCTCATGGCAGTTCCCAGGACTGTATCACCCCACTGACTCCATTTCAGTGACTGAAGGCAGGTCTCCTTCCTGCCCCTAAGGATACTGCAGTGATTACAGCCCCCCAGCGTCAACACTGAACCTCCTATGTGGGGTTTTACTATGATATTTTTCCTCTCAGCTGCTGGGTGAAGGGGCCCTGGCTGAGCAGGACGCTGGCCAGGGGCTGTCGATGGGAGTTTGCAAAGGGAATGGCTCCAGCTTTGCACCTCAGCCCCAACCAACTCAGCAGCGTGGGAACACACTCCTGGAGGGGAAGAGCAAGATGGGAGTAGGCAGGAGTGAGAAACCCCAGAGTGCTGACACAGGAGTCTCTGTCACATGAAGGGCTGTGATATTTATTCCAATTAAAATGAAACCAGAGAGGGAGCAGAGCAATCCAGGCAGAAACCAGTGCAGCAGAGCGTGATGAGGAGTCATGTTGCCTAAAATGGGGAGAGCCCTGCAGAGAACCCTCCCAACACCCTCCAGCGAGGGCATGGGTGCTGGGGTGCTCCACATAGCCCGGGGGGAATGAATTAACACAGCCACCTGCAGAGGACAGGGAAAGGCACCCTGCTCTGCACCAGCACCTCTGGGGGGCTGTGTCAGGGTCCTGCGAGCCAAGACCTCTCCCTTTTGGCAGCAAGTGGCCCGGGAATCACAAGGCAAGGCTATTCTGTGGGAGAGGAAGATTGCTGAAGCACTTCTCAGGAATCCCGCTGATGCATCCTGACAGGAGCACATCAGTTTGTCTTTTCATCTCGGCCACACGCGGGGTTGGATTGAGCACTCAGGCGCGGCTCAGTGGCCGTGTCAGTGAGCAAAGTGTGTCAGCGGCCCCGGCTGCGCGATCGCTGGCGATGTGTGAGCGCGGCAGCGGGAGATGAGATGAGCTGACACTTGTCCTCCCGCAGCCCCTGCCCCGTGCCTGCCGGGGGGCAGCGCCCTCAACCCCTCCCCAGCAGAGGTGGGACAAGGC